CTCGATTCTGATTATATCATTCGATGCATCAAAGTTTTTACTTTATTGTACAAATAAAAAATTTTCTCTGAAAAAGGTATTCATAAAGTTTTGTAAGGTTTTCGACAAAAATGCTTGATTTACTACCCAAAGAAAAATAAGTTGGACATTTGTAGTTTTCTTTTCATGACGTCTTTATTCTACATCAAAATATTTTCAATTATATATTATTGAATAAAGAATGTTGAGAATTAAATTGTTTACAAGACGATGAATTTGGGTGAACGATTAATTATTATTATTGAATATGATAAGAATCTATCTTTCTAAGTATAGATTATAGTGAAGAAAAAAAAACAAATGTTTCCGTTCTGTCGCTTTATTTACATCAAGTCAGTGAATAAAGGAAAGAAATATATATATATATCCATACGCCATGCATATAAAGTAATAGAAAGAAAAAAATTTGTTTTCTTCTTTCTTCACTGTAAACTGTACTTAGAAAGATAGATTCTTATCATATTCAATAATAATAATTAATCGTTCACCCAAATTCATCGTCTTGTTAACAATTTAATTCTCTACATTCTTTATTCAATAATATATAATTGAAAATATTTTGATGTAGAATAAAGACGTCATGAAAAGAAAACTACAAATGTCTAAATTATTTTTTTTTTGGTAGTAAATCAAGCAGTTTGTCGAAAACCTTACAAAACTTTATGAATACCTTTTTTCAGAGAAAATTTTTTATTTGTACAATAAAGTAAAAACTTTGATGCATCGAATAATATAATCAGAGTAGATAAAATGTTTTTTTTTTCATTGTGAAATCGGCTTTCGGACACAAATGTTACAGGATGTTCAAATAATTATTTTACATAGTGTATAATTTTGACCGGCTCGTCACGCTCTTTCTAACCATACACCATAAAAGTTCTACTTTAATTTTACATTTCCGATGCCTTAGCAAAAAACTAAAAAGCTTCTAATAAAGATTTGTCTTGTAGCTGTTTGAACCGTTTTTCAAAACTTTCTCATCTTTTATATTTTTTTCTAAAACACGTGACGATCTATTTTAAACTAATATATCTCTAATCAATTATTCGTGCTCTAGAGATTGATGTACGAAGGAGCGAAAAATAAAATTTACACGACTTTTGTCTTATTCAGGGGTGTCACCTTCCTGCTAATTTGGAATAAATATAAATTAATTTTTTATATAAGTTATATTTATTTTAAATATAGATTGTTTGCACGTAGTTTACAATTTATTAAATTATAAAATAAAATAAAATAATATTATTGTATTTCTTTTTCATGTCTCATTGTAGTCAGATGAATAAGAAAGAAGACGCGTAAAAAAATGTTGAGTTTTTAGTGAAAATAAAATCGTAAAAAATGCACATGTACACGCGTTCATAGTGCATTAGGTTTTCGAAAGTATATATATATATTTGTTCAAAAGCTTTAAGACGTTGTGAACATGTAAAAACTATACTTTCTACGATGATATTTTGATTAAAATGTCAATAGACTTTTACGCGTTTTTTCCCTTGTTCCTCAAGCTAGAATGAAATATGAAAAAGAAACAGCCTAATTTTAATTCATAATGTAATAAAGTATAAATTAAGTGGAAATTATTTATTTTTAAAATCAATTTTGAAAAAAGTTCATAGTTAAAAATAAATATAAATATTGATTATTTATATTCGTTTTTTAATCTAAATTATAAAAAAAATGATTAGTATTTATTTTAAATTTAAGTTACTGATAATTAATTATGCATATAAATTAAATTGAAAATAGATATAAATTAACATCTATAGCATTATGCGTATCTTAAATAACACATGTCAGAATTCTTTCAATTTTTACGATTATAGAAAAAAGCTGGAACCTCTTTTGAGAAAAATTATGTAGAAGCTTTATCATATTGTAGGTTTAAAACAGTTCTCTTTTAATTTTCTCAATTGCTTTTTAACATCTATTGTTTGAATGTATTCTTGATGAGATTTAAAGAAGACATTCTTTAAATAATTGTTCGGACTTCAGCGAACAAAAACTGAACAAGATATAGAGAAAGTATTGATACAGTCTTTGAACATGGTTTATCTGATACATATATATTGACTTACCAAACTGTAAGGGATTAGCAGAGAGAATGAAGTTCAGTAAGTCTTTCAATTTTTTATGGTTACTCAGTTTTCAAAAGAGCTCCATTGGAAAATGACCTAGTGCTGAAAAGTCACGACTTCTTTATTGTGGATATCAATAGCTGCAAACAACAAAACTCAATTTTTTTCGAGTCGATTGAACATTCATTGCATGCTTTGAATCAAATATTTTAGAAGCCAAGCTTAAAACATTCAATTTAACATTTCGGACGATCAAGAATCGTCGATATCGAGAAAATGTCAACAGAAATGTTGCATGAAAAACATATGGGTACATGGAAGGAGCTGTAAGTTTATCAAAGTTTCTTTCATCAATATTACAACTAACATGCTAATTTGGCAACTAAACATAAAGAAAGATTTCCAAGTATGAATTCTCTTTTCGACCAGCAGGGTAGTTGTTAAATTGATCAGAGCCAACTGTATAGTGTGGTAACTTTAACTGAATGCCTGAGCCTCTAAAGCTTTGTAATGAACACTAGTTTACTCATCTCTTGATCTATTATGAACGTTCTCTGATAAAATCAGTTGTTGCATTTTTCGATTTGAACCTTTTCACACGGGCAGGTCTCATAATTACCAGATTTTATCACACAATTTTACTTCGAACGAATGTTTCTTCACAATATTATTTTTTCAAGCGATTCAAGTGCTTCCAACTTTTGTTGTCAATATGAGTTCTTAAAGAACGTAATATTTTGACATGGACAGATATGTTTTGATGGTAAATTTTGGTACATTATGGTGACAATGAGACTTGTACAAAAGCTAATTTTCAGATAAAAAATAATTCATTTGCTTTTACGAAATACTGTAGAACAGTTCAAGGAGTGAGTGAAATAAGAATCGTAGCCCAGTCTCAAAAAACACACTGATTCAATAGAAGTTATGGAATTATACTAATCTCTATAAATGATCAAATGACCAAAGTCGCAGTCGAAAAACTCTTTTCACTCAAAGACCTTACCTCGTCAACTCAACATTAACACTGCTTTCGCTTTCTATTCACTAGGCATGAATTGTACACATTTTCTATGTTTTTTTATTTCAGAAAAGTGAATTCTAAACGAATTTTATCGACCATCGGCATGTTCGCTGGTGCATTTTTGCTTGGAATTCTCATTGTAACCATATTCTTATTGATCTTGGCGTTTCTTAAAAACTTTAATAGAAACGTTATGGAGAACTATGGCATAGGTTTGTCAATTTTTTCTTTCAGCTAAACAGTAGATTATGCTGTTTGTTGAGCCATTATTGTGAAAGGTTCAGAAATAGTGTAGGAGAAAATAAATAATAGAAAATTCAGTTTTCCGCTAACAGATACATATAGTAAAGACATCCTGATCATAAAAGTACACCATGCGTCTTTCTCGATAAAGATTGCACCGGAGGTAGTTCAAAGTATTGAGCTTGTTTCAAATCAATTTTTTCATTTTATCGTTCAAAAATAATCAATTATTACAAAAGAGATTATCTTTCATCTAAATTAAGGCAAGCATTATCTGTTAATGATGCCTCAGACAGAGAAAATTTCTTATTTTGAAAATTGAATATTATTCATCATTGAAATTTCGCAATTTTTTTTATAAATTTTTCTCAGCGGCTAAGTCGAAACTACCTGATATCATTATTCTATCGCTTCAGTTTCTGTATCTAAAATAGTAAACCGCTCTATCCGAAACTTCTTATATGTGGTAATGATATTTAGACGATTTAAAGTAGTGATACAGTTATGTTTTATAAGGCCTTCGAGTTAGTAATTACTTTTTTAATTTATGTACCTCTTTCATATAGAATTGAGCGTATAGAAACCTGTTTGATAACGATATTATTTTTTTCCGCAATCCTAATGACGAGTCATCTAGATTAGAGCTGTAGTTGTCCATGAGCGAGTTTCACCTTGCAATATATTTAATATTATTTTGTATAGGTTATTTAAATGAGAAACGTACAATAATACACATGATTTAATGCGAAACGTTTGAAAGTTACAGAGTTCATAGAAATCGAAGTGCTAATTATTTCCAGAGCAAAATATTACTAATTCGACTGAAATCGGAATTGATTAAGAGATTGTTGGAATTTATTCATGAAAAATACAGAGAGAATCCACTAATGTTTAGTATGTGTGCTGTTCGTCAACTTTCTAGGAGTCAAATAAAAGGTCCAATTATATATTCTTATAGCGCAAAAAAAATGTAATATTATTTTACCTATAATCGATAACTATTTTGAATTCTATGGAACGAATCTATTGTACCATATTTTTAATCATATATATATATATTTATATATAATTAGAACGCCAAAACTATCTCTGATAATGCAAACTCGCATTTGAATCATTGAATATGTTGACATAGCGTATCTTATACAAGAAATTCTTTTTTTCTGAATCTTCAAATATTTTATTGCATATCCTAAAGTCTTACTTTCATTTCTCCGAAGCAGCTCAGTCATAAAACTAGCAACTTCGAAGTCACATATATCACAATAGATAAAACATCTTTCGCATGAATCTGAAATTGCTACGATCCATGTTTCGTTCAGATGGTTGACTATCAACCGTGGAGATGAGTTTGCAGAGAAAGATCTACAGATGATAAAAATCTCCTGTCATACGACTTAATCCATCAATCAGGCTTTTTTGAGATTAACAGCTTCTAATATAAGTAGTTGCCGTGGACCTTCCTTCTTGATTCATGATGTTCGTAAGCCAATTTTTTTGGTATGCCGATTATCTTTGAGTAACCTTTTTGCATAATGACCGAGTTTTTCGCAAAAATACTCTGATAAACGACTGCCCGTTTCAATCATTCATTTTATATTGTAGAATCAGGCAAAATGACGCAAAGCTTCTACTCAACTTGGATGCCAAACAAGGATCAGAGTACAATAGTCATCAATACTGATGAGATCGCTCGAAAAGTAATCGCATTTCAATTATTTATCACGTATATATAAATTAATTAAATTGAACGAAATTCTAGTTAGAAGCTGTCTATGGTATCAAATCAGGATCCATCTATATCAGTACTATTGTGATCACTAATGGTGAAAAAAATGTCTATGATCGCCGTCGTCGCCGTCAATTTGATAGGAAAAAACATGAACTGTGAGTCTTCATTTTGAGTGATTTTTTAAATAGGTTATCTGTTCTCAATATTTGTCTAATTCTTTTTTAGACCTAGATGTAATCAGTTTGGATCTGATCGTTCAATTGTAGAAATAACAATTCATATAATTTATCCAGCAAGGTGTGGCACATTTATGTCTTGCCAAAAAGAATTAGCTGATGCTATCCAAGCTCGTATTACTGCATACATTTCAACTATTTTACTAGAATTCAAATTTGATGATGGAAGCTTCGGTGAACTTGCTTTAATTAGATGTAAGAAAGTCGCAGATTCATCATTAAATTATGTATTACGGTCACGGCGCGGTGCAAAAGTTACTAAAGCAACGAAAAGTCCTACAACAGCAACCACAACAACAAAATGCGCGACAACAGCAAGCACTACAAAAATAACCACGACAACGAAAAGTCCTACAACAACAAAATGCGCGACAACAGCAAGCACTACAAAAATAACCACGACAACGAAAAGTCCTACAACAACAAAATGCGCGACAACAGCAAGCGCTACAACAACAACCACGACAACGCAAGGTAAGCACCATTATGTTCCATAAATTTTTGTATACGTTAACACTAATAGTTTCGCTGTTCATTTTCGAAAACTTAAATTAGTAGCAAAAGTCAAGGAAACTCAGTGCTCTACAATTATCTTCTGAAATCATATTTTAACTGAGTTTGATCAACGAGTTTAGCGTGAGATCGAAAGAATATTGAATAGCTTAACTTCTGAGAATGTCGTAAGTCAAGAGTTCGCAATATGCATATGTTTCAGCATACTAGAAATGTTTTGATAGTACACAATGTATCATTGAAAAGACATTTATGAAATATTATGAAATGCCATTGCTGACTTGCTAGCACTTCGATGAACTTCAATTGCCATGGATCGTGACTAAACTATTTTCGTAAATGCTTCTTTTTGCATTGAATTCGAATAGAAATAAAAACGTTCACTGACTAAATACAGTTATTGATGAATTCAGTAGCTTTTTTCTCTGAGAACTTCTCATTAATCAATTTCTTTCATCATAAACTCTCAGTTACAAGCTCAATGGCATATATGCATTCCCTGAAAAAGTGACATATTCCTATTTTCACTGTACAAGACTTGCATTATATTGTAAAATATTACCCACAAAATGCATTTAATTGTTTTTTTTTGTCGCATACAGACGATTTCCAGTAGCATTGACTCATGAAAGTCCATCAATCAAGTGCTGTAAAAGTCACTAGTCTATATAAAAGAAGGGGAACCAGTAAGGCTTTTTCTTACCATAAGCGTTACCGTTCTAAGTGAACAGAGCAGACCGAATTGGGTGATATACCAACATGCATAATTATCAC